TACAAAAAAGAAACTCGTTAGTTACGTGTGTTACACTAGCTTGGGCGTTATCTCGGGATGTTTCTGCAAAAAAAATGTCTTGGCCTAACGGCCTCGCCATTTTTTAGCAGAAACACCCCTTGATGTCGCCCCAGCCAGTGTTATATCCCCGTAACTTACTCGTTTCATGTACTATAACTATTACATATTTTGAAATATTTTTGTATTACTTTTTTACTTCTTAATGTATCTACTTCAAACTACAAATATATGTTTCTTATTATTGCCGACATCATATGTGGCAAGGTTCATAATTCTAGCACCAATATTATTAGAATTATCATCCTTGAACTGAAATTTGAAAAATGCTGTTTGTTGTCTAAAACATTTTTCATTCTTTAGGTATCTACTTCAATCTTGAAGCATATGCTCCTGATTAGCACTTTAATCATATGTGAGAAGATCGAATTCTGTAGCTTGACCATTTCCAGAATTATGCCCCCTTTGAACTTAGATTTTTTTCAGGAAATTATCATTTTACTCAAATTTCTTTATTTCTAAAAGGATATATGGTACTTCAAACTTCAAACTCCTACATCATAATAATATGGCAATAATAAATCTAGCGTCCACACTTCAAGAATTATTCCTACTTTAACTTATTTATTCATATTTCTTTAAATCTTCATGGATTTATTTCAAATTCCCAATATTTGTTCCTTATCAACACCTACATCATATATAATTAGATTTAAAAGTCATGTGCTTGGGTTTCAATTATGGTTATTTTCATTTTGAACTCCGAATGTTTTTGAAAATTGTTGTATATATATTCTTTAAATTTTCTTCTTTGTAACTATGAATGGTATTTACTTTACACTTAAGATAACTGCTCTATGTCATCACTCACACCATGTATGACAATGTTCATAAGTTTAGCATCTTAATTTCAAGAGTTATCTCCTCATTAGTTAAAGAACTTTGCTTTAAAAATGCTATATTCCGGTAACAACAGGGATGTATACAGAGTTGCCCTCCGCCTGGAAGTTTCCTGTGATCACTTTTAATGAACTTGGAACTTTTCCAACAAATTTCATTAAAGTAAAGAATAGTTGAAACATTAGACTTTCACATATTAAATCTTAGAAAATATGGATCTCTTGATTATCTGTTGTATAAACATAATTTCCTTTTTAAAGCATTATTATGTAACAGATAAACTAAGAACTCAAAAGATTTGAAATCTTGAAAGCATTCGTGTCTTCCACAATGGCATATTTGAATGGTCATGACCCATGATGATGTTGCTTGGGATCAGACCCGTAGGGAACTTTTGTTTTGCTTGAAATAATTCATGTTATAATTGCTTATTTTAATAGTTTGAATTTTTTATATGCCAATTTGAAGGTACCATGTGTGCATAAAGTATAGCTTTAATAACCAAATTGAATTCATTTCTAAAAAATTATGCAACGCAGATTACCAAATCATGTACGTACTCTTGCATGCTTCAAACATGGATTATGTGATCCTCCATTAATTGCATTCCAACGCGAAAGACAAGCAAACTCCAAGCAGTGATAACTTCTTCTAATCAGTAAATTTTAAGTAGAAAAGAGAGTGCACAGAGTTAATATGTTAACATATATGCGTAGTAGTTTTGTAAAAATAGGCCTTTTGAAACTATTAGCAAATACGTATGCTGACATAAAAAATCTAAGGTTTCCGACAGATTGCCTTGGTAACGACAAACAGTGTAGACTGCACGATATGGACAAAACTTAACTATGGTCTTACAATAAACCGTCAGCCAAAAGCGATATAGTCAGGAGGAGAATTAAAAACCAGTCTATTAGAAATCAGAAGTACAACATGTGTTCTTTGATGTTTTTTAATTTGCAAATTACACTTGCTTTTTATGAAAAAATGGAACTACTTAAACATATCAATTTTGATTATATAATTATGTGTAATTACTTTATTATTTCAGCAACAACTGAGAAAAGTCCTTTGATAAAAAAATTGAATTTCAAGCTTCATGGTTCCTCAAATGAAATGAAAATAGTCGATAAGGTACTACAGAATTCAACATTTTGGACAAATGAAATAAACATCTGGTCAAGAATTTCCATTAACGCATCTGCAAACTACAAGCCAGACATTGACAGTATAAATAAACCAAACTATATTACTGAGTATTATATTGGAATAGAAGAACTAATCATTGTTTTAACTTTATCGCGAGGTAAATACTACATTACTACAATTTTGACGTACACAATATGTATTAATACACATGCTGAAACAGATACATTCATTTGATGTTCATTGCTTTTTAATTAAAGGTTTTAAAAAGTTATATGTTACCATCACAATAAACAATGTATGTTCATTTTGTCATGTTTCATCAAACATAAGATATTACTAACCTTTACTATTTTTGTACTGTTACACTGGTAACAGTACTTTTTCACAGTACAAAAATTAAAGACTTCTAGAAACAGTGTCCCAATAAAGTATCTAATAGGGGCAATGAAATAAATAACACATAGCAAAAAATCACACCTCGTAAAAATATAACGCCCCGGGTGACAGTATTTTCCTCGGTATGCTATTTTTACTGTTACTCACAACCTATGTATTATTCATATACTGTTACATGAAAATATAATTAAGATTAACAAGAAACATTAATTGTCAAAATTCTGTAATTTACTTTTTCTTAAAGACAATATATAACATGTTTTCAACATAAGCATTTTATGAATTAGTATACTAGTATTGTTTGAATATGACTTACATCACAATAAAGGCTGAATATGTTTTAAAACAATCAATTGCAAACAGGCTTCCAATAAATTAAACATTTAAATGAGACTATCATTCGGATTTCCTGTAAAGATGAGCACTTATTTGGTAGTTATAGCTAGACTATTTTACTGTACTTTATAAACAGGTTTTGAAAATAAGGAAATGAAGATAGATGGAGGTTGCACAAACTTTAAAGAAAATTGTGACAAAGAAATAAAAGATAAAGTGATCAGTAGTATAAGTTCTTGGAGACCAATTTTAAACAATGGTGCATTTAAACACGCTGATAGGTGAGTATAAAGAAATATGAAAGTTCGATAATTTATAAAGGTTATGTTTATGAAAAATAAGAGAAATGAAAAGTCTGAAATATATGTTTCTGTGATTTTTCACTTTTATGCAATTTTTATTATATATCTATCTAGTCTAAGTGTCAATATTTTGGATTTGTTCGAGTATCCTTGAAAATGGTATACCTCATGATTAAGCAGTTTTAGGGCCCCATGCCTGTCGTATAAATTTGCCCCTTATCATAATGCGTAACCACAAATACCTTATCATTCCTCGTTTTAACCAAACTAAGTTCATAACTAGAAGGTTTATCATAAGCATTTTATTAGTCAGTAACAAGTATATGTTTTTAAACAAACTGTATGACTGAATTATATCTGAAATATCATAAAATACCCCTTACTGTATATGTATTCAAAAGTGCGTTTCACTCCAAAATAAGCCACTATTTTTTTATTTTTCATTTTTTTTTTTGTTTATCTGGCCGATGAAGAGCTTTTAGAATTTTCATACAAATTAAGTTTTCTTTAATAAAATATCTCTTAAAATACACGGTAGTCGTTTTTTATATAGAATAAAGTTCAAAGTGTCGGCTAAAAATGGAGGTAAAGTCATGTACGAGGATAGAAGTAGTTGGTCAAAATCATATGTCAAAAGGCAATATTTACTAAAAGGCATTACGACCAACGAAGAGATTGAACTTGGTTTTGATACATTTCCACCGGTACACTGCTTTGAACAAGACAATAACTGTCAGCAAGATGCATGTAAAGTAACAGATTTTTTAACCGAGGTACACATTCTCATTTAAATTAACTGATATAATATTTTTTTATCCATTAATTCATGTTATGTATAACATTTTATTTTCGTTTTTTTTAAATTTTGCTTTAACAATTGATTGATTGAATTCATTGAATGCAGATTTATGACATGAAGAATAGGTGCATATGCATGGAACGTATCTGTTTTTATGATAGTTCATCTGTGTAGGCAAATTCAAGTGTTTGGTTCCATTACTTGAAATAAAGTTATATACTTCACATTCAATTGTCTTCTTTTCAAATAGAAAGTAGAATAATTTATCATGACCTATTACATTTTAGATTAAAATAATGGTAATCTGTCAATTTGTACATCTATAAATGGACTGATTTAAAAAAAGTTTTATAGGGTTAGCAATACACATGCAGATGTTTTCAACCAGCGTTTCATTATTTGCAGCATAATGTTTTAATATTCTATTTTCAAGTAAGTAAATCTACCACGAGATTGATGGTAATAAGAGATTAATACACGGCAGATTAGGGCCGGAAGGTGATAATCGGCCCGCAAAATGAATAATGGTCCCGAGGGCTTCAGCCCGAGGGCATTTATCATTCAGGGCCGATTATCACATTCTGGCACTACTATGACGTGTATTGATGTCTTTAATACACTTGGCAGATCTAAAAATAGCATTTTTTAAAAAAATTCTTTTAAATTTAAATTTCTTTCGTTGACATTCCTGTCTGCATTTCTACTGTTCTGTACAGTTAAGTAACCTCTACAGAGTTGTTTACTGTTTGTGTGTTAAAAGTACACTACTGTAGGATCTAGAAGCAAATTTTATTTTCCCTTTTTCGGAATGAATTTGTCGTATTAGATCTTTTTCTTTAAATTTTTGAAATTCAATAGTACGAAATACGCTTTTAAAAGCTCTCATAATAAAATAAAGCGATTTGTGCTTAAAACCTACGTTAACTGTGTGATGACGTAAAATATGACGTCATTTTCAGTTTGTGCACGAGCACATGTTCAGCGGGCTGATAACTAGTTCTCGGCCCCGGGCCGCAAACTCATAATAGGTCACGTGACACTCATAATCAGTTGAAATCATAGGCGATTTTGTTACTATATATAGTAACAAGTGTATTAAAATGTTCAATTTATTGCTGATATATGTTGCCTTTTTCCAGTCAAAAGTCACTGTTTATTGGGCTGGATGGGATGATCTAGTTTCCGGAATAGACCAATACGAATTCAATATCTATTATTTAGAAAATTCAGCGGACGATAATCTTCTTAGACATAAATATATGCTTACAGCGAGTCAATTTTCATCATCTACTGTAAGTACAAAAGTTAGTCGGATAATTCTTTGATAAGATGTTATCTCTAAATCTTTAACATGAGTAAATGAGATTATTTGAATGCATTTAAGAAATATATTTAACAGCTAAATATGAAAATTATCAGAAATACCTTTATATTATTGTATTTAATTAAAAAAAGTGACCAATGACAGCATACTATGAAATAATTGTATCATTATTTTCAGTCCTCCGCAACTCTAGACCTAGACGCACCCGGCCCATATTCAGTAGAGATTGTTGTACATGACCGTGCTAAGAATTATAAAGTTGCCAGGAGAATTATTCTCTATGACAATGCGTCAGTTGTTGATTTATACGGTAAACAGGCGAGCGTGGTTCAAGCCATTGAAAACGGTTGGATAAATAAAAATAGCGAACAGATAGAAATTGAATGGCCACATAGATTCCGAAATATTAGACATAGCAACGGTGGTTGGCTAAATGCTGTACAAGAGAACAATGATATTTCTAGAGATCTTGATGACCGAGAAGGAAGATCAAGTAGAACAATTGACAAACTAAATAACATAAATGGTAAGATATGTACCTTTGTAAGGAATTTAATATACTTTATCCAAATATTATGTATGAAATGCAATAAATGTTTAACTTAGAAGCCAAGTTGGTAAATCTTTTATTTACGTTCACGATTGTTTATCTATACATGTTATTGGAATATAAAAAGATTAAACTAAATTTAAACGTTTCTGTTATTCAAAATCCGCATTTATTCTACAATTAAGTACTTTCATCTTTACATGAATCTTTTTCTTTACCTGACATTGTTTTAGTTTTTATTCTATTTATTTATACTTTTAATTATCTACATGTATATTGATTTCAGGAATTGTTCGGTTTGATATAGCACGCATCGTTGAAGTTGATGGTAAAACAGATTATATCAGTTTTGAACCAGTGCCTGATGATTTCTTTAAATTAGAAAAGATGGTTTATACTGATGAAGAATTTGTTGATGGAAAAAAGCTAACGTATTTCATACGCGGGATAGACGCTGTTGGAGAATTTGCTGAAGATAACGTAACAGTTATGATAGATTTATCTCCACCAGTTATACAAAACCTTTGGCTCACAAAGGGTGACTGGGCGAATATTAGTGTACATAGTGTTTTAGAATTGAACAAATTGATGTAAGTAATCAAAATATATTATTTATATTTCAAAAATCATTATCAACGTACTATTTTTATCATAATTGTACTGTACGATTTAATAATATTTCTCCTAGTAATGTAAATAAACATAAAAAATATTGATTTGTTTCTATCAAATTCAATTTTAGTGATACAAAACAATTCCCCGGTGTATTTGTAGAATTGAATGGGAAGTATTTGATTTCCACAGTGGTATTCACGAAATTTCATGGAAAATATTTGATAATTTTACCAAAACAGAAGTAGTCCATGGACATTCCTATGAGCCACCACAAGGGGAAACAGAGGTATATTAGATAAAGATAAATGTTGGATTATTAGAAAGCTTACTCAATAGCTATGAATATTCTTGATAATACATAAATAATAAAATTATCATTTAGAATGTATACGAATAGGAATTAACATACGAAAATTAACTAAAAAACATTGTCCTAAACATAAATATTTTTTACAAGATTCATTGATTTCAGAAACATTTTTATCACGTGAAAGTCATTGACATTGTCAATGTTTTGTAAAATGAAACGTCTTTTTATTTTATTTCCTAAGTTTTAAAATGCACCTTAAGGTCTATAAACATTTTAGTTCATATCCGTTTGCAACTTCTCTTTAATTGTTTTTTAGTTACAGACATTAATCATTCAATTTCATGTCATTTTTTAGACTATTGAAGAGTGCTGGAGTAATTATTCTATGAACGCCCGAGGAGCAAACTGTTACTGCTCCCCTTATAATGGATGCTTTCACAAACATTTTCAAGTCAACCCACAAGTATCGATAGAAAACAACACTGGCCTCATAAGCGGAAAAGAAATTGGGGAACACGATTTTGACTACATTATAGAGGTTACTGCTACCAACAATGCTAGATTAACAACTATTCTTCAGAAAAAGGCAATGATATGTTCTTGTGTCGTTTTCAAATACATGCTGTAATTTAAAACTTTTATTCTAACAAGAGTTTACAAATACGGAATGAGCTGTTAATGAAAAGTTTTACATCTTTGCACTAAATGTTTCCTTTGAAGGTATACATAGTGTGTCCAGACATGACATATTTTTTTACCATTAACTTCTCGTTTTTATAGCATATTTCATGACCATTCAGAAATTATTATACCATCATAGGTCAAATGAAAATTTCTGTCAGATTTCTTGCTCTAAGAAAGGCCTTAAAGTGAAAAAAAAGAAAATGGTGATGATGGTAATGATAACGATGTTGTTGTTCCTGTTCTTGTTGATAATACTTCGGTTGTTGTAACTGTTGTAACTGTTTTTTCTATGATGATGATAATAATAAGGAAGATGGTAATGTAGAAAAGATGTAATACTCATTATTTAAATTGTTTTCCTAAAGTATCAGATACGATTAAACTTTATATATTTTCCCATAAAGCTCATACAAATCTATAATACAAGACTAGCGATAATATTAATAATCTATATTAATGTCATCCAAATTTGTCGTTGGGTAACTAAAAGATTTAACTTATAAAACCACATTATTCAGACGTATTGAACCACTTACCTATTGACTATCGTACTACACCACTGGATAAATTTATTGTCTTATCAGCAATTTATACTAAATAATTTCTATATTTCGAAGACTGTGTTTTCTTTTGTGATATTTTCATCAAACACAGTGGTGTTTTACAGTTAAAGTTTTATTTTCCTTCTTTGACAACAAAACAAGTCTTATATAGAAAGTATTTTTTAAATGTGGAATTTCCCTATACATATACAGTTAAACGTGTTTCCTCGAACTCAGATCGCTTGAATACTTCCTTTCGCTCGAACTTCATTTCCATTCTAAGTACATATGTTTAAATGACACACTCCATTTATTTTAATACATTTCCTATTAAAACCTTTAAATTGAAATATATATGTATATGTTTAAATTATCAATCAATGTGATTTAGATTACTATCGATACATCACCACCCCATGAAGGAATCACGCACGATGGTTTACCAGGGTACCCAGAACTCGATTTTCAGCAGACACTACGTCTTAGCGGCTACTGGGATCACTTCTTTGATAAGGAAAGTGGTGTTTGGTTGTATACATATGGCTTTACTCAAAGGTGTTTAAACGAAAACGAGTTGGACATTCATTTCAACGTAAGTGTTATATAAACAAGAACATATATTCAATTGCCTTTGCAATTAGTTAAATACCAATTTTCCCTTAAAGAAATGTTTGCATGCGAGACATGGGCTGCTTAGTCTTCTTGGTACTTTGAGGATCTTACTATTTTGCAGATTTATGTGTATTTATGAGTCTATGAAATGGCTATAACCTCCTGTAAGTTTATAATGGATTGTAGTATCACAGAAAAATTAATGTTAAAACACTTGATTATAAATAGAATTAATGTAATACACTCTTCCTTAACAAAAATAAAATAATTATGTAGTATTGTATTGCTTTCAACATGTGAATTAAATTACGTTACTGACATTTCTGTAAAATTCTTTTGATGTTCTATGAGTCAAATAGAGTCATATTAAATCTAAGTCTTACTTTGGGTAAATTTAAAACAATCAGAGAGAAGTTACTCCGTTTCTCAGTGACTTAACAGTAATAAAATCAAGTTATTGTAGTTATCAAATTTACTATTACTGGTATTACTCGTAAAACTGGATTTCTAAATATATTTGTTTCCATTTCTTCCATTATCTTCTTTTCTCATTAGGTTAGCTGGACTTATGACAATACTGCTGCATTGACAGTGGATAAGCCCGGGAAATATTATCTGACAGTTATGGCATACAACCATGCTCTTGACCATGGTAAACCTGTATGCTCTGATGGTGTTACAGTAGATGACACTCCAGCAGTTGTATCGGACGTTGTTATTCAAAATGCCGTTACAACTGAAGGGCTTGTAAAGAGTGTGACAGACGAGACAGTATACATTCTGTACAGAAACAGGGAGCTGGTACAGGTTGAAAATCCTTCTGAAACTTGCAGGTAACATTTTATATACTTTAATATATTTTAAAAATATTTAATTCTATTTCAGAAAAAAATTTTTTTTTACATAAAAAAATTTTCATCATCTATTTACGAACTATCGAATTTGATTTTTAGTTGAAAATTTTTTTTTCCGAATATAAAAAATAATATTCATTTTAAAAGATTTTTTGCTTTTTTTGACTGTCTTTGTAAAAAATAAAAAAAAATCCCCAATTTAAAGCTTCAAAATACATAAAGATTTGACTATCGATTTATTCACGCTCATTTTCAAAAGACCGGGGAATATCACTACAGATAAATTTGGACTTTACCCCCATAAAACAACAACAAAAAGGACGAGAAGCATAAACAAAGCTAAATGAGAACTGTAAATACTTTATGGGGGCCCCCCGACGATCTCATCTCTTCTTCATCTACATTTGTAAGTTTTACTTTCAGTATTATTTGTAGTTTATTCATTTGCTTCCATATGTTACTTTTTAACAATAACAACATAATCTAGATGACACTCTTACAATTCAGTAACCGTCTTAATTTCTGTTATACATGTTTTCCACTTGAAAGTATATTCATTTTACAAACCTGAAACCCCCTGGGATAGTCTTGTGAAAATCTATAACAGTTGGTATAACATCTTTGAGTTCAAATATAGTCAATATGATAATTTAAGCAGAATCAAGAAATTCATATTTCTATTTAAAGTCCAAATATATAGTTCGTTTCATTTATATACATGCTCAAAATGTATTTTTATTAATTATATCTTTAAGAAAGGTTTATCTCGTGTAGACTATAAAAACGTATTTAAACAAGCACCCTAAATGAACACTTTAAAGTTGTTTTTTCAAAAAATGTTTTTGTTTTTATTAAAAAGGCGATTTCAAAGGAATGTAACAAAATGGGCCCCGGGTCTGCATGATTATGAAGTTGGGTATCTTTCAACATTCTGGGTACCAGATATAATGGGTTTTTCGTCTTCTCCAACATGCATATGCGTTTTTTTTATCCCGATATTTTTGAAAAGGTGAATTTTTTATTGGGAAACAGTCTTTTACAATCCAGTTATTTAAAATTCAGGGGAATTTTAAAACATATCAGTTTTCTGCAAATTTATTCGCATATTCAAAGTACAATTAATTAGAGAATGATTGAACGTCTAGATTCGACGGCTTTTTCTAAAAATGTTTTAGCTTGTTAAAAGGTTAAATAAAGTTTACAGTTTATAAACATACGTCAAAATGCACGTCCCGGAAAATGTTTTTAATTTTTCATTAGATAATGAAAGTACACTCGGTATGTGTGGAGCTCACTTTCAATATAAACAACACAATATGCGAAATAAGCAACAAAACTGTTTCCGTTTTACTCCATTTACAAAATCTTTCTACAAATACAAACCTAACCCTCGGCTTTTTCATATTAAAATTCAAGGGTTTTGAACCAGATTGGCTTTAGTCGGAACAATTCGAAATATGCTGGTTCCCACGTATTTGAATTAAGTTTTATTGACATGTATGAGTATACATGTTTATAAGTATATGTGTTATATGTATACAATTTATTTGGAAATTAACGCATTTGTAGCTCCGAATCCCAAGTGCCTAGTTAAAAATGTACTTCCAATGGAAGTCTTCCATCTATTTAGCGTACTCATGTACCGGGACATACTGCCCTTACGGACTTTTAGCCTCTTGCTATCCTGGCCTAGAAATCCACTCAATACAAATTCAAATTCCAGTTTGTCATAATCTTATTCAAGCCTACTTTAATTTTAGACAAATGCATTAACTATGTTTGAAATACATAAAATTCACCTAAACAAATGTTCAAAACAAATTAAGCGGCCATATTCCGAGATTCAATGACTATAATATGATATATTTTTATCTCAGGTAATCGGTCCATTAGCATATGATTCATCAAAACCCGAATTTAAAGGAGAAATAATATTATCTACTGAACATACCCATAACGAAACATTTCTAATAGCAAGATGGGATGTCGGCGCGTTTACTGATCATGGTGATCCACATGCTTTAACGTACGAAGCTGCAATAGGTAAATAAAGCAATTTTATTTTACAAAAAAGTTTACATGATGAACAATAGTTTTAAATGGAATAGTATTTATATCGATAGCTCTTAAATAATACAGAAACAGTAGTTTCCATATTCTTTGGTTCATTATAAAAAATAACAAATAAAATAAGATAAACATGAGGAAAAAGGAATTGATTTTTTACATGAGAATAAATAATATCAGAAAAGCCAATAAAAATTGACTTCATCACTTTAAAGATGACCGAATACATTTTTACGTTTCGTTTATTACGATACTAGTAATCAATGCTCATATTTATGTATGTTTAGGCACTTCGAAAAATGCACAAGATGTTCACCCATTTAGCATTTTATCTTTCGGCGGAAGTTGTTTGCCATTTGAATATCCTACGTGCACGGCATTCTCAACTCAAACATTTCGCTGGAACCTACATGATGATCAAAATTACTACGTAACAATCAAAGTTAAAGACACTGTAGGTCACTTTGTTACCGCTTCCGCTACAAAATACAGACATTACAGTCAATTACCATCAAGAGGGATTGTAAAAGACGTAGATGACAAAGGAGTGAAGGTTTATGTAATTTTCAAACGTTAAATATACACTATGGAGTTCACAGAGATGTATTGTACGTTTTAAACTTTAAACGTATGAAATAAATACAGTATAAACACATAGTAATATGAAAATCATAAAACATCAGTTTTTTTTAACGAATGGGCCAAATTGACGTGACTAGTGATAGAGAATGCAGCTTCGCAAAACAGCTTTCTTATTCAAATTAGACATATTAAGTAAGAATTTCAATCAATTTCTGCAATAAAAATATTTCTACCAAAGGTGAGCAAAGTATATCTTAAAGTATACGTTTGGAGATAAATCAATGTGTCTTTTTTATTTTAGTTTGTTGACATAGATGACATAGATTTTCAAACAAGTACATCGAAAGTAACAGCACGATGGTCTGGCTTTAAACATCCGCATGAAGATATTAGATTTACTGTCTGCATTTCAAATGCTTTCAGTACTGACTTCATCAAATGTGAACAAACTACTTCAACTGATCAGTATACAATTTCTGGTCTAAATTTAACAGAGTATGAGGTGAGTCGATCATGTTATGTTAGACGTCGTTTTCAAACTGTATTTATAGGGTATGAATCTGATGGTTTATAATTGTCAATATTTAATCGGATTTTTAATAAGATTATGAACATTTAAATTGATTTCTTTCTTATTTTTGTCTTAAAAAACTGTATTAAAATGAGTCTGAATTGTTTTAATAGAATGCGTTATGTATAATTCAAAAACGAGCAAGAAATATATATTACAGAATCATTTTGTTACAGTGATAAATTCATGTATATTGATATAAATAACAACGTTTTCTCAGACTTATTACCAAACTGTGATAGCCGAAACAGAAGTTGGAAATATCACTGCTGTTTCCGACGGTATTACTGTTGTCATTGACGGAGATGGTATCCCCGGAATACAAATTTTTGATGGTCTGCCATGCGATAGTCCTTTAAATGAAGGTAGGTATGAGAAAATATGATTGCACATAATAATGTTAGACTACATTACTTTGTTATTTTCATTATACATGTATTTAAAAATGTATGCATTTGCTTTATCATAAATATTTCATATATCACAGTAATATTCTTACATTCTCTATTTAGTTGTCATTTCAGATCTCAATCTGACGTTATCACACCATGATGGGGTTTGTACATTTTGTTATTATTATTTTATTATCATTATTATTAAACCAAATATTGTGCTTTGAAGTTCAATACAAACACAAATACATACATTTAACTACATCTATATCACTGCACATTTTTCATATATATTTTGTAAACAATAAAACTTTCATGACATCTTCTGGGTGTTTTTTGTTGATGATACCTAATGTTCTAAACTGGACCTTACAGTTTTGGTGTGAATATTATTATATAAACAATCGGACTTTAAATGTTGAAAGTTTCATTTAAACTCCTCAAATATGTTGTATTTCTTAAAATTGTCATTAATATCTCTCTTACAGGATAAACGTTTAATATGTAAGAACGAACTTGAATTCCAAGCATCTTCTAATGTTCTCCAAGCACACTGGACGATCCCTGAGGAAAAGAGGCATTATCTGAAAGACATTAATTGGTCAATAGAAGAAAGGGCACCAGTCGCTGGTCAGTTTTGTGTTAGTAAATAATAGGAACACTTGATGGAAGCATCTTATATCTAATAAAAATAATTAATACATTGAGAATTGAGATTTCACAAATTTATCTGAACGAATGAAATTTCGGTCCATATATAAACATAGAACTACTTTTCGTAGGCACGCGTTGTCTTTATCCAGATAAATAGCGACGTTTAAACAAATGGTTAAATACATTGTGTTAGGACAGTTTATTCTGAAGTTTTCAAAGGAAGACCTTCTCATTGGACCAAAGAGTAGGGCAAGACAAATATTTATTCATGATTGCTTTAGGTGAATGCAACCAAGATACCTTAATAACCACGTCTTTAAAGAGCATTTTAAGAAAAAAGATACCCTTTTTAACATTGTCTTTACACATAAGTAAGGTTAAGTAATTGTAGCTTCTATTGTTGAACAACTATTTTATTCTATCAATTTATTCAATAATTATCTTTTTATGTATAACTGTAACTGTTTAAAAATAACATTTGATTTCGTTTAGATATTTGGAAGAGAATAACAAAGTTTCAGCATCTGCGAACAAATGCAACTCATCTGGAAACCAGTGGCTTATTCCTATCACCTGGTAGAAAGTATAGAATATCATTACAATTTTGTGCAAGACAGCATTGTTTCAAACCCGTTCACAGCGATGGAATATTTGTAGTTCCTAATCCACCAGTAACCGATTTTTTGACGGTTACGCATGTAGAAGATACCAAGCAGGTGAGTGATAAATGTTGATTTTATATAATTCGAAATTATAGAATTATACCTAAACACCAAATTTCGAATTTGAGGCATTTACATCATAAATCTAATCATATGTGTTCACAAGTAACTGACACAAAATCATGTAATAGTACAACATGGGGATATTTCCGTTTCAACGTTTTCAGATCCAGGTTTCGTTTGCAAAGTTCAAGGACTCGGACATATCTGATATTTCTGAAAGTTACGATGTCATGGATCATTATGAATGGGCCTTTTCGGATGAGAATGAAATAGGTCGTCTTTTGACAAAATGGTCACGTATTTTAACAGCAGAAGAAACATCGAATAAGACGGTAAATGTATAAGATTGTTTTGTCTTTTAACAGACAAATTTTCTTATATTTTCTTATATTACTGTCATTGTTATCTAATAAAGATATATATAAATTCATATAAATTTATCTATTTGCTAATTTTTAATTATTTGTATAATATCTAGTCGTAATTGAATCTAATTGGTAATCTATGACAATTTGTTTGTGATACATTCTTTCTTCACCTTTACCTTTCTTGGCAGCTTAATTTTACTATCAACTTAAATGGAGACGTCGAATTCACAAAGTGTTGGTTCTTGATAGTTAGAGGATACACGAAAGTTGGTCTTTCGTCAACTATTTCTTCCCAAATCAAAAACTGCCAGGATGTGCAACAAATTCGCCCTAGTATAGTTATTGATGCTGTTGGTGACCCTCTTTCCACTGGTAATTATTAGTCATCTACATGATCTAGGGATATATCAAATATTTCCTTGTTTACTTCCAGTATGCAAATTATACTTATTTAGCACATCACTGTTAATGATACACGAATGCTTTATACGTAATAATGCCTTATGAAGAAAAAATGTTTAAAAAAGTGAAGTTGATAATTACGAATAATAAAGAAAAACGGAATCCCTAGAGATCCCTCAAAACGAAAATTGAAAATATTGCAGGCTCGGTTTGATTAAGCCTGTTCATGGACCCTTCTGGAAAATGCAAGTTACCGTCCACACCCCCTAGCATCGGCTAATAATAAGCAGAATGCAATATCTAAACATGAAAATGTTAAAAAAAAACACATACTTTTGTTTTAACAGAAAACAGAAAACAATCATTGTAATACATGACGTAAAAAATAATAATAGTTGAGGCTAAATATAAACGTATTCGTTTTAACATTAAGGCAACCTTTACTTAATAGTACGTGTAATGTAAGTGTTAATTATAAAACATTTTTTCCCTATTCATGATTGGTCATAATCAGTCTTCTTTCCAGAGAATGTTAATATCGGAAAGGACATTTACCTTGAGGAAAATGGTATTTGGGAGGCTCCAGATGAGGATTACACACCGTACAATAATATACTGTCAGCTGTATGGCCAACCTTAAGGTGTGTTAATCGGCTTTCCCTTTTGGTATATCTCATTGACATTCGTATATCATATTTGTTTAAAATATCGTTTAGTTATGTAGCCTAATGTTTATATTTAAAGACTCAGGCTCATTCAAAAACTCAAAATTGTGTTAATATAATGATATATTTAGATGAAAGATAGAAATATGAATCAAATATTTGAGCATAAATACGTATTAATAGTTATTTGTATTTATAATAAAGAGTTTAACATTACATTAATATCAATTGACTAAATCAATGTACATTATACTTTTTATACTTATTTTACAAAATAATATTGAATAATTTAGATATCACTTTAAGATGATCACCAGGAAAACATGGAAGTAAATATTATGATGTGTCATTATTTTTCAAAGAAGATTTTAACAGGCTCGTTGTGGAAATATAACAGTACATCATCTTTCTTTTGCAGGTATACTAAATATTATTGGGCTGTTTTATTGGTTAAGGTAAATGACCCAACAGTATTTTACAAAAATACGGACACTCTTGGTTTGAAAGAACCCTGTTCTCATCCGGACGCAATAAAATGCGGCGATACAGGTATATATCTTTTGAAAAACAATTTGGCAAACATTGCATCTTTATTGACAGAGTGAAAATTGTAATAAACACTGATAAAAGGACAGCTTTGAATTAAATTTCTTTATTCATTAATGCGTTTTGGGAGAGAGTAATTCTACAGTCGTAGTTAAGTTTTATATTACATGGAGAAATCAAAGCGAGCGTTATACTCATTGCATTTTTATTCTTTTTTTTCAAATCATTGAAATTTCAGAACTCGGCTATGTCAATGTCAATTTTGGTGATGGGACTCTTGTGCATGGGTATCGGTACATTATTTGTATTCATGCAAATAAAACGACTCTTCACCATGAATTTTGGGATCAAATACTTGATGAACTAAACGAGTGTAGTAATGGCGTAACTGTTGATCTTACACCGCCAATACCCGCAGATATCTGGATTGGAAATGATAAAGAACACTTGTATCAGGTATGTTAAGTGTTTGTTCGGTTACTTCCAGAACACATATTTATTCACAAGCTTTTCTTACGCTCGTATTATACGCTTGTGTTACACTTAATTTGAATAACCGTATTATTGCTCAGTATCATAAGCCTTATGTAATTTTGTTTGATTATTTTGTCCACATTTGATTATTTTTTCCATTCTAGTACATTATCGAATATATAATGTATAGGGATATCCTGTACGTGATATGAAATCAGCTGTATATCTCATTGGGGCATGCAGCTTGATATTATACACGCATGTACAGTTTTTATTTATTTGTAGTACCAGTGTGTATCAATAGCTGCTTTTAATCAGTTAATACACTACCAAATTAAGTTAAATGTGTCAAATAATTGTCTCATAAATGATCAGTCAGCAGTCTGAGACTGGTTCATTGATATTGCATCAACATTTAAGATTATGTTGTTTTGGAAACAAGCACGATTTATGCGCCCATACACACGAAGCTCTTAATGGCCAATGATTATCTATATTTCCTCTGTTGGGCGGAGACTGAATTTCAAATCGACACAGAATAGCGACAAAAACTTTTGATATCTAAATCAAAATAATTCTGGAAAGGGATTCTTTTTCAGATTCTCAATGAATCTTTGCCACTATAAAAATTAGAGCTCATTTTTTGTCCGCTTGCTAATATTTTTTGTTCTTTTACTAATATTTGCAATATGAAGGGACATGAAAAAATAATCATCAAAGTAAGATAATTTCAAAACGTTTAAGCAAATATAATTTATAATTCAAAAGTAGTTGGAGCTCTACATTCTGTTATGTAAATTTTCTTGATAGGGATAACATTGACGAATAAAACACTTAATGTCCCTTCCCAACTAGTACAGAAAAATCAGAAGGTAGTTTTTTTTTGTTCAAAGGTTTACAACTAAAAACGTTATTTCAGCGTTTCAAGTAATTAATTACAAATGATTATGAGTGTTCTTGGTAAAAGTATTATGAAACTTCAACACTTTTGTTTTAGTGTGAAACAATATAGATTTACATCTTTTATGAGCACGCGTAATATTACACTAAATATTACATTTACCTGTATATCAATTGGTTAGGATTCTCGTAATTATCTGTTTTTCTTTCAATTAGACATCTACATCTGAAATATCTGCTCATTGGAATTCATTTACTGACGTGGAAGAGGAAGGATTTGCACCACATATTAGCGGGATCACACACTATGAAGCTTACTTAGGTAAAAGAACATGTACTTGGTTTAGCTTATTTTATCAAAGAACTGTTGCAACTTCTTATTTTTAAAAGTTTAGCTTGCAATTGTTTTTTGTCGTAAACTATACTATTAAACATTTTTTCATTATGAATTACAAGAATTTTAAAAATAATTACAATTTTCAGGTTCAAGTCCAGGAGGTGTTGATGTTCAAAGGTTAACACATGTTGGGCTTACAAATCATTATACTTTTCACAATCTAAAACTACAAAACGGGCATACATATTTTGCCACTGTTAAAGGTAAAAATTTCTTTTCTTTCCTTTGTAAAAAATATATAAAATGAACAAATTCGTTTGTCTAACTCAAGAACACGCTCGACGAATGTTTTAAACGTAATTGCAAACTTCCTTTTTTATTTAAGTTATATCTATAACTCTGTTTTCCTGTTTTAATTTATCTAACATGAAATATACCTGTTAATTTATTCAGAATAAACATACTTTATACAATTTGATAAAAAAGATTCATTCTTATATATGATAAGTGTTGATGAACTTATTCTGAATAAACATACTTCATGCATTTTGATAAAATAAAAGACATTCATTCTTATATATGATTAATGTTGATGAACTTATTCAGAATACACATACTTTATGCATTTTGATAAAAAAGATTCATTCTTATATACGATAAATGTTTTGAGCACATTTCTGTATTATATGTTATTTAATCTTTTAGCCTATGACTTTACCGGACTGTTTTCAAGTTCCATATCAGAGGGTATAAAGGTTGATAAACCC